TTTGAAATAGCTGTTGCGACACAAAGTATGGCTGAGAACCAGCAGCACTAGCATCCCCTGGAATCTCATTAGAAATGTAGACTCTCAGTTCAGACCCACTGAGTCAGAATATGCATTTTAATAGTCTCTCCCAAGTATAATTATGTACATTCAAGTTTGAGAAGCACTGGTCTGGGCCATTGCTACTAATGCAGCTTACAGTTCTAATGTTGATTCTCCATTGCTGCATCATATAGTAGGTTGCATTGGAAACCTTCTCTGACTTCTCTTGGTACCACCCAAGGCAAAGTTCAGAACTGGAAAGAAACTAAGAGAACATCTATTCAATGCTCACATATTACAGAGGAAGAAGCAAGGTCCCATGTGGGTAAAGCGACTTGACCAATGCCACAACTCATTAGTGACAAAAATAGGAATGAGAACCAAACTCTTCTCATCCCTAATATTTATTTATTTACAAACACATATAATTTAGCTGCTTACTAATTAATAAAAGATTTATTGAGTACATACCATATGCCAGGTATTTTGTTAGGTGATTAAGATACAAAGATGAGGAAGTGGGACAATCAACTCCATCTAGTACAAGAGAGCTCTTCTTTCACTCATTCCTGGGCTATAAGGAATTCTAAACATAAGACACATTTTAAATACAGTAGTCCTCAGTGTTTTTCAAAACTATATCACTTCTTTGCCATTGGAAAACTAGTCTTTGCAGAAGTGAGTAAGGGAGCATTGAAAGTTCCATCATGAGTGTATTGTCTCCTCCTGAATCCACCCTGAAGTATGAAGGTGATATAGGGTGAATCTTGTCCCTTGAAGAGTGAAGACAAGCGGGAATAGAACTAAGGATTAGTAGATTAGGCAAGGACTGGCTGGGAGATCTAATGGGAAGTCATTTTAGGATTAGCAGTAGGTCTAAGAGAATATAAAGAATGAGGCACCAAGGAAGAGTAAGGAGCCAGGAATGATCACGAGCTAAAATAATGCCTTAGAGCATTATTATTGCTCTAAGCACTTCACATGGACTCATTGAATCCTCACACGAGCAATTCATGGAATGGGGATTACACATCTCCATTTCACAAATGAGGAAGCCAGAGGCGTGAATGTCAACTTGCCCATAGTCTGCATTTGCATTATGACTATGTAAGTATCATTCATGGGTGAGCCAAGTAAGTTACTGCTTCCTTTATTTCTGCCTTCTTCTTTCCAGAAGAAAAAAGTTGCCTTTAACTTAGAACTAGTCTTTTGTCTTATTTTTGTTTATTTTTGGATCTCTAATTCTTCCCAAGCTTTCAAAGAACTATACAGTCTTCTCCATTTGGTCAAACTCATCAGCTTATCTTTCAGTTCCATTTGTTTTTCTTCTTCAGAGACATGCTCCACATTGATTGCTTTTATGGCTCAACTATCATCTTAAGGGTCCCATTCATCACCCTACTGCGTATTCCTTCCCCTCTCTCTAAGTTGGGTTCCCTGGGTCTCCTGTTTCTGTCTTGAGTTGCTCTCTTGGGTCAGATGAACACGTCCTCCAGCTTCCTGAAAAAGGGTGTATAGAGGTTCTAATTTTTCAGAGTATTCATGAGACTTCACAAAGAAAGGATGAGGCATGGAAGGCTAAAGAAAGCACAGGTAATCATTCGAGACACTCAAGATATCCAGGGGCAGCTTTCAGTGTCTCAGTCACATAGGACACAGTTCATTTATGGATTATAAACCACCAAAATCTGACATATCTTGGTCTCAAGCTGCTCTCTTATCTGAGGAGGAGCCTTTTCTATCTCTGTTTGTGTAGTCAAAAACACGTGTGGGCCCAGACTCAATAATAGAAGTGAAGATAATAGATCTAGCTGCCAATCATCAGTATGCACATTTTTTGTAAAAAATGCAGACCAGATGTTACAGGCTGCTCTCTGGTCTGTTTCAGACCCTTGAACAGGACTGCATTAATTACTAGTTAACACATTTTACTCAGGTTTGGCCAAGGGCCAATACCATGACTACATTGCCCTTATATGGTAACAGGGTTGCAGCAAACTAACTGAGATTACCCAGGAGGTAAAAAGACCTTGAATGTCTAACAAAATATCTTTATTTTAATGCTTAATTCATTGTTTTCTTGGCCTAAAATTCTAGGCTGACAGTTATTTTCCCTGAAAACATGGGGGGTATTATTCCACTGTCTCTGGCATTGTCAACAGCAATGTCTCTGCATTGCTGTTGAGAAGGCTGATCCCATTCTGATTCCTAGTTCATTATTTGTGACTCTGCCAGCTCTCAGAGTCTTCCCTCTGTCCCACATGTACTGAGATTTCGTGATGCGCATTGGTGTGTCTTTCATCTGTTGTGCTGGATATTTAGGGTGGCCCTTTCAAAATGAAAACTAATATTCTCCAGTTCATGGAAATTTGTTTTATTTAATAATTTCCTCCCTCCTGATTATCTTATTACCTTTTGGAATTTCTATTATTCAGATATTGAACCAATTGGATTAAGTGTTTACTTTTCTCATTTTTTCCCCTATTATCTATGTTTTTAAATTTAGGTTTCACTTTTGGGGAGATGGATTCAACTTTATATTTTGAATCTTTTATTATTTAGTTGTTTTGATCATATTTCTATTTTTAAGTGGTCTTCCTTGTTCTCTGATTGTCCCATTTTGATAGTATCCTGTTCTTGTTTCACAGATGCAACATTGTCTTTCTTCTATCTGAGGATATTAGTTATGGTTTCATTGGAGTTTTCTCCTGATCTTTGTCTTATATCTTATTCTGCAATTTCCCTTCTGTTAGTTTTAGTTTTTGCCTTTCATTTCCTGTCTAGTGACTCTTGACTGTCCATTTATGTTTGAAGTGAAGCACTAAAAAGCATATTTGGTTAGACATTGATTTGTGGGCCTCATTATAGGGTAACTGCAGAAGGAGCCAGTAGTTTCACTGGAGGATGATGACATTTCAGTATCTGTAGGTCTTTTCTCTTTGACATATCAGTTTCCCCAAAGACAATTCTCTTAGACACCTGCCTAATTTACTGCATTCTGAGAAGGGGCTGTTGTGGGGTAGGGGGATGTCTCTCATTCAGAATGCAGACTTTCACTTAATTACAATGTTTTTAGTAAAGCACCTGAGCCCTGTACCTAACGTCCCTCAGCATAGATCCTCTCTGATTTAACATGAGCAGAGAGCAAAATAGAAGAAGGTCAGCCAGGAGAGAGGAGGCAAGGGAAAGGAGGAGTCTCCAGGTTGTACCCACCCAGATGAAAGGGAGGTTGTCTAATGTTACTCCTTGTTTGCAGTACCACCTATTCCTGCCTTTAAAGGTACCTGAGCCTTCAGTTCCTGAGCTTGTCAGGGATCTCAGTCATGCTTGTTGTTGGCAACCCCTCTGAAAACACTTAGGACACAGCCTTTCCTCTCTGCTGAGTCAGCTTTGTTCTTCCAGGTGCTTTCTGTCCTTCATAGTGTTGCTAACATCTTTTGTCTGCTTCATCTCCTCTTGTGTTCTTTCTGTCCTTGTGGACTCACGCCTTTTAAAAATACCTAAAAATACCTTTACTCTTATCTTAGTTTACTTTGTGAGGAAGCAGAGGTAAAGGCATGTGCCTTTAGGGGTGAAGAGAGTTTTTTCTTCCTCTTCTAAAGATTTGGGTCTAAAGTCTACCAAAATAATACTGACAATGGATAGCCTAACAGGAGAAAAAGCATACAAATTTAGTAATGTGTATAAGCACAGGAAAATAACAAAAGAATGATTACCCAATTACCCGGAGAGATTCAGAAGCTTATATACCCTTCTTCAGGTTTCTTCCTTCAGGGAGAGGAAGCTGGGGATGTGGGCAATTTTGAGGAGTCATCAATGATTTTTACCAGAACTGAATGGACCCAAAGGGCAGACCGTAGTTTTTAAGTGATCTGTGTAAAGGGACTGAGAACGACAATAGCTTGTGGGAAGTTAGGGAAGAAGAGGGGTAGCACAACACTGCAAACAAAGGTTGTCTGATTATGCAGATAGAGTCTCCCAGGCAATCTCTCCAAGCTGCCCTCAGAAGAATAGACAAAAACTCTGTGTGGGCAAGGTGATGACTTTTAGTCTTTTCTCCTCTCTGGTACTTAATCTTTCTTGGTTATTTAATGAGATTCCTAGAAAGGGAGCTTCAAGACTATTGTACTTCTTTTGGAAGACATTTTCTCAGGCAGATACGGGAACCTCCTGAGAGAGCCCCTACCTGTGCTGGGTTAAAAAGTCTTGGTTCTGAGATAGTTTCTAAGGCCTTCTAATGTCCTTTGTTACTTTGGGGCTATGTTCTCTGAGCCTCAATATGCCTAATTACTCGGTTTTGATTGGCAACTCTGGACAATAGCTTTCTTATATCTAAAATGAAGGAATGAGACCAGATTATCTCTAAGGTTCTGTGACTCTCAAACACTACAAATCCATAACTAAGTAGGTGCTATAACATGCAACTGACTCTAAGAATTGTCAGAATCTGAACAACAGGGAAATTACTGGAGCATGAATCATCAAGGGACATTTCATCTTAGCTGTGGTGGCTAGAAAGCTGCGTGTGGATTGGATAAATGGAGAGAAGAGGAAGGGAACAGCATAAGTGAACTCATAGAAATGACTATGCCCACTTATGGGAATGGTACATGTTGAGAAGTAACAAGGAACAAAGTTGGCTATTTACCGGGTGTATGCTTAATACTTACTGTAGAGGGCCTTCAAAGGCTGAACTATAAACTTAATTGCAATACAAAATGTCACTCTTCAAAAATAATATCATATTGTTACCAAATAGTATTTATTTTCATCCTACAACCTTTGTATAATTCTGGTTCACATCATTTCTCTTTTGGGTGAATTGAAAACCCAATTTTTCTCTTCTAAACAAATACTTTTTAACGTACAGTGATATTATTTTGTGAACTATTGCTGTATTTTTTGAGGTAAACTCTAATTTTGATGTCACATTGTATACCCCTTTTTTTTTCTTATAGGTTTTATTGTTGTATGCATATAATTTGAAGCCTGTGAAGATTTCAGATGTTAGACATTCCACTTGTAACAGTACATGTGTTGGCTCTTTATGGATTCCACTGAATAGGCAAGTAAAAATTCCACAACTCGAATTGTCTTTGTTGTTATTTCTCATGAGAATAGACTCTTTCAGTAATTGGCAAGGTGTAGCATAGGAGACCTGCTAAAAGGCACTTCTAGAAGAATCTTCCTTTGGTTTAGAGGAATATTATATTGCAGTGGTTAAGAGCATGAACTCTGAATCCTGCCTGCTTCATTCAAATATCAGTTGTGCCCCTTATTACCTTCACAACCTTGGGCAGTTTATGTAACCTCTGTACTTCAGTTTCCTATTAGTAAAATGGAAATAATACTAATAATAGTACAGAGGGTTGCCGAAGGAACAGTTCATACATGCTTCATAGAGATTACAGAGAGCACAAGGATGTTGTCTGTACTATATTTTGCCTGTAGTTTCAGTGTGGTTAAAAAATAATTTAATGTGGCTTTGTATGGAGTTTCAAAATTAAGCCCAAGCTCTACTACCTCCCTTGGCCCACCTTTCCCTCTGTGCCCAATCAGAAGTCTCTGCTTTATCTAGGTTGTTTTCCTCCCTCTCCATCAAACAGGTCTTATCTCTTAACTTTTTGCTCATGCCTCATTTCTCTCTTCCTGTTTCACTTTACAAATTTCCTTGTTGTTGTTTTTTAATTTATTACTTAGTTTATTTTTGACTTCACTGTTCATTGCCCTTCTGACCTTATCCTCCATTTCCTTCATTTAGGATGGAAATGATCATAACTGCTCTGTCTGCCTTTCAGGGTTATTTCAGGACCAAGATAGACAGTGTGTGAACATGCTTTGAAAAGCTTAACCACTAATGCCTGTTCCATCAATGGCTTGGTAAACAGAGAATTTAGTGCTTCTCTCCTTCCTTTGAGAGTCTTGTTTATGTTCCATGATTTTCATTTTGAATGACTTCTTGGCATCACCATGAAAGAGACAAAGGCTGTTTCGAGAGCTGGCATATTTTCAATTATTCAGTCAATTTATTTGTTCCTTCTTTTCTTTCTTTTCTCCTCTTCTCTCCTCTTCTTCCCTTCCTTTCCTCCACTCCTCTCCTCTATATTTTCATTCAATTTATTTTCTTCCTTGTTTTCCTTTTCCTTTCCATTTCTTTTCTTCTTTTCCAAGTGAAATGGTTGAAAACTTAGGTACAGGCTATAGAGCAGCATAGCTAAACAACAAAATCAGGTAATTCTGCACTTGCTTTGTAAATCCGGAAATGTAGATTTTTTCCAGCCCCACATGATGAAAATGATTATAATTTCTATAAAGTTTAGAAAGTCATCAAACTGATAAGCTTCTTTCTTTTATTCCAGAAAGTTTTGAATTTTGGTGTATTTCTGATCAATAGTAGGGTTAGTAAAATTAGTGACAAGCCCCAGCCACTGAGGCCATCACAGAGGACCATGCCCAACAATCTTTTATCTCCTTGTCCTTTGGTGGCACTGTGAAAATAAAGTATTTCTTTCATCCTGGGTGGCATTCCTTGTGTTCTTATGAGACTCAAGATTAGTATGTGGGAACTGGTCCTAATCATCCTTTGGACCAAAGTAGGAGTAGGAGTAAAGCAAAGTAGGAGTAAAACAGGTCAGAAAAACATAGGCCAGAGAAGAAGAAACTTGGATAACCTGCAAATTGGGAAATCCTCCTTTTATAATTCACTTCCTCATATCCTAGTTAAGTTCTCATAAGAAAAAGTATATTTTAATCCTTTGCATTTTTTTACAGCAACAAAGGAAACAATAGTGTTCTTAATGAACAGACATAAAGCCTTCTGTGTAGTTCTATCTAAATTGTGCTATTGTGACCAAGATCAAGTTCCCTGCCTACTGTCTCTGCCTTTAAACCTCCAGTCATCCATGTTTCTACTTGCAACTTGGTCCTGCCCTCCAGGCCATGGCAGACTCTGGGAGAGAGTGCCTAGGAGTCAATAAATGAGAGCAGAGGCTGTGGGGAGCCCAGACGGGATGATAGATGCTTGTTTGTGGTGCCAAGGTTTAAAAAGCTGGAGCAGGCGTTGACCTGGAGGACAGAAATGAAGAAGTACATGGGAGGACAGGGAGGTGAGGGGCAAATGTATGCCAGGGCACAAAGGGAGGAAGCAAGATGTAGGCAGGTGCAGTCATGGGGTCCAGGCCTTACACCAAGACTCAGGTCATCCGATGTTGCTCTTCGCATAAGGACTCAGCCTGCTTTGCCTGGTCCCAGATGGCTGTTTGTGGAGCTAGACGGGGCCATTTACTCTGCCAGCACAGGCAGTGAAGTTCTGGACACTCATTTACAATCTGCAACCCAAATGTCAAAGAATGGTTTATCCTTCCTAGAATCCCAAGTATTATAAAGGAAAGCTGTGCTATTTGTGGAAGACAAATAAGACTTCTTTCTGTAGGTATTAGAATTTAAAAAATGGCATTTTAGAATACTATCTTTCCTTCATGTAGTTCCTTGTGGTTAAGAACATACATACTTATGTCATTTCATCCTTACAAAAGCCTTATGAATTGGATGAAGTGGATTTTCTTATTCCAGTCTTACAGTAGAAGGAACCTCAGGGTCAGAGAGGTTAAGTGAGTAGTCTAAGGTTTCATGGCTAGAGTCTGAAGGAACCAAGCATGACTCACCAACTCTTTCACCTCCTCATCTTCTTTTCTCTCCAATGCATCAGGCACCTTTTCCAGCATTATTGGAGATGACCCTTTTTTTTTTTTTTTAAGTTTTACTTTAAGTTCTGGGATACATGTGCAGAACATGCAGGTTTGCTACATAGGTATACACGTCCCATGGTGGTTTGCTGCACCTATCAACCCGTCATCTAGATTTTAAGCCCCACATGCATTAGGTGTTTGTCCTAATGCTCTCCTTGCCCTTGTCCCCAGCCCACTGACAGGTCCTAGTGTGTGATGTTCCCCTCCCTTTGTTCATGTGTTCTCATTGTTCAACTCCCACTTATGAATGAGAACATGCAGCGTTTGGTTTTCTGTTCCTGTGTTAGTTTGCTGAGGATGATGGTTTCCAGGTTCATGCATGTCCTTGCAGAGGACATGAACTCATTCTTTTTTATGGCTGCATAGTATTCCATGGTGTATATGTGCCATATTTTCTTTATCCCATCTATCATTGATGGGTATTTGGGTTGGTTCCAAGTCTTTGCTATTGTAAATAGTGCTGCAGGAAACATATGTGTGCACATTTCTTTATAGTAGAATGATTTATAATCCTTTGGGTATATACACAGTAACGGGATTGCTGGGTCAAATGGTATTTCTGGTTCTACATCCTTGAGGAATTGCCACACTGTCTTCCATAATGGTTGAACTAATTTACATTCCACGAACAGTGTAAAAGTGTTCCTATTTCTCCACATCCTCTCCAGCATCTGTTGTTTCTTGACTATTTAATGATTGCCATTCTAACTAGTGTGGTTTTGTGGTTTTGATTTGCATTTCTCTAATGACCAGTGATGATGAACTTTTTTTCATATGTTTGTTGGCTGCCTAAATGTCTTTTTTTGAGAAGTGTCTTTTATATCCTTCGCCCACTCTTTGATGGGGTTGTTTCTTTTTTTTTCTTGTAAATTTAAGTTCTTTGTAGATTCTGGATATTAGATCTTTCTCAGATGGATATATTGCAAAAATTTTCTCCCATTCTGTAGGTTGCCTGTTCACTCTGTAGGTTACCCATAGTTTCTTTTGCTGTGCAGAAACTCTTTAGTTTAATTAGATTCCATTTATCATTTTGGCTTTTGTTGCAATTGCTTTTGGTATTTTAGTCATGAAGTCTTTGCCCATGCCTGTGTCCTGAATGGTATTGCCTAGGTTTTCTTCTAGGGTTTTTATGGTTTTAGGTTTTACATTTAAATCTTTAATTCATCTGAGTTAATTTTTGTATAAGGTGTAAGGAAGGGGTCCAGTTTCAGTTTTCTGCATATGGCTAGCCAGTTTTCCCAACACCATTTATTAAACAGGGAATCCTTTCCCTGTTGATTGTTTTTGTCAGGTTTATTTGAGATCAAATGGTTGTAGATATATGGTGTTATTTCTGGGTCCTCTGTTCTGTTCCATTGGTCTATATATCTGTTGTAGTACCACTACCATGCTGTTTGGGTTACTGTAGCCTTGTAGTACAGTTTGAAGTCAGGTAGCGTGATGCCTCCAGCTTTGTTCTTTTTGCTTAGGATTGTCTTGACTGTACGGGCTCTTTTTTGGTTCCATATGAAATTTAAAGTAGTTTTTTTCCAATTCCGTAAAGAAAGTAAATGGTAGATTGATGGGAATAGCATTGAATCTATAAATTACTTTGGGCAGTATGGCCAATTTCACGATATTGATTCTTCCTATCCATGATCATGGGATGTTTTAAGATTTGTTTGTGTCCTCTCTTATTTCCTTGAGCAGTGGTTTATAGTTCTCCTTGAAGAGGTCCTTCATGTCCCTTGAAAGTTGTATTCCTAGGTATTTTATTCTCTTTGTAGCAATTGTGAATGGGAGTTCACTCATGATTTGGCTCTCTGCTTGTCTGTTATTGGTGTATAGGATGACCCATTTTTTAATGGGTAAGTCTTTCAAGTAAACTTTAACAACAAATCTTTGCATTTAACTGTTGCCTTTTTAACAGAAAAGTTTCTAAGACATACTATATAAATTCACATCCTCTCATATGTAATTACATTTTTAACTTTTTATTGCTGAGAACTATCATTAGGATAATCAAGTGTTGCATAATGCTGCAGATGAGGATGCTGTGGAAAATTGGAAGTTTGACAATTTTTTGCCGATGTTCCTGATGTCAGTTTGTTTGTGGGATCATTTGCTTCTTTTGCATAAAAATTTTCTTCCTTCCTTGAATGGAAACATGCATGTGCACACACATGTGTAAACACATGTGTGCTGTGCCTGTAGTGTGGAGTCACTGAGGCCATGCAGGTGACTGTTTGCCTTCGTCAACTGTAAGCCTTTCCACCTTCTGCCTCCACTCCCCTGGTCCATTCTGCCTTCAGGGCATCACTGTTTGCTGGCCTGTGAACCCTGTCTTCAGCATCATTGCTGGTGCCCTCCTTTGGCTGTTACTTTTCATTTTTCTTGATTCTTCTCCCTACCTCCCTTCCTCCACCCTCTTCACTCCCATTCCCAACACACATGCAATACACTGAATTGTTATGGGTCCCTTGATTGACCTTTTAGAGTCATTGTTAACTTGTCATAATTCTTACCTGCAGGTCAGCCAGACAGTCAGGGCATGGCATTAAGACTTCCACAAGAGTCAGTCTTTTGTTATTGCCTAGATTTTGTTTCACCACATAGATAATTATTTTCTTTATTTTCATCTTCAGCAATATTTTAGATGTGTGCCTTTTTTTCATTGTGCTTTTGCAATTTCTAATTATGTTTTTATCTGCATGTGTAACAAGACCATAAACATAATGAAAGTTAAGACTGTCTCTTTGCTCATGTTTCTTGAACTTGGCTGTATCAGAAATCTATTTGTTAAATAACTGAGGCCTTACTTTATATAAGTTATTGGTTCTGCAAATAAACAAATACCTTTCTTAACTCTTCAAATAAAATACATATATATTTGTTATTTTCAGGGTTATTGCAATTCATGAGAAATTATCTAATCTTGCTCAAATAGCTGAAATATCATTGCCTGCAGCTCCTGAAATTACCTCAAATGAAAATATGTATGAAATGGAAGTGGAAGAGGAATCAGTTGATAATGAAATGGAAGTAAGTTGTTAAATAATGGAAAATGAGATTGCTGTAGATTACCTTTTACATCCTCAAAGCAGAACTGTGTGACTGGACTTGAACTCTGTGATTCTTCTGCCTCTAGTTTATTCAGAGTATGAGACATGACTCAACTTTTTGACACATATGTAGTGTGTCTTCTGAAGGTCTGAGGGTCTTCTAAGCATATGAATTACAAGAATTTGATGGTGAATGAGCACAATCCATATTAATCGTTCTGCTATAACTGTGAATCCTAATAAATAATGCTTTGTGACTTTGCAATATTACTTTTATCTTTTTTCACTCTAAATCTATTGAACACTTTTATTACCCAAATAATATGTGAAGAAAAACTAGAAAATATAGATAAGCATATTTTTCAGAATTTTTATATGCATATATATTTTTCTAACAAAAAAGGCTATTATCCACATAGTATGCTGTTAAGTCTAATCACACAGCTGAGTTGTTTTTCTGATGACCGATGTTTGTGTTTTAGAGGAGATGGGGGTTTTCTGTCCCGTCCTGAGTTCTGAGTTCTCCTGGGGCACAGGAGACAGTTATATGGAGACCAAAATGTCAGCATCATTACTGATAAAGCTGATTAGTGAACTTGGCTTTAGATCTGTGGCCAAATGAGCACATTAAATTTTACCCCTGAATTAGCCAGACTTGCCCACCTAGTCATGTAGTCATCTGGCACACCTGTGTCACCACAGGGTTTCCCCATTTCTCTTCTGCCCCACTCAAGTTTACTGCATAGAGAGCAGAGAATAATAGTTCTGCAGGTAGGGTGTCTCCAAAAAGTATAAACAAAGATAGCCCAGAAGGGGCTGAGCCTAGCATGCTCTGTTGCTTTTCCCAGACTCACTGATGAGATAAGTCACTCTACTCTTTTGTGGGTAAATCCAAAAGAAGCTGGAAGTGTCTTGCCTTCTTTGGGAGAGACATGGAAATTCCTTACCCTTTATGGAAATGAGAAGGGTAGGTAACCTATGCTCTCCCCTAATTACCTGTTCTTTAAATTACCATTTGTACCTTAATTTCTTGAGAAATGTATTCTGTACTTATTGTAGCTATTTGAAAGATAGATCTAAAAGGCTTAAAATGAAAAAAGGCAATCTGTTGCCCAACCTCTGCTCACTCCACAATTCTGCTCTGCAGAGGCAACCACTTTCCACTTTTAGCTGCTGCTTTTGTTATTTGCTTTCACATCTACAAATAATATTCAGTATCAGTCATGAAAGATGGGGTAACAAAAAGCCTCCAAATCTGAGTGAGTCAGCTGGGGACCTGCTTCATGTCTCTTCATGCCAGCATCAAGGTGGGTGGCACATTCATCATGGAACATCACCAGTCACTGTGGCAGGCGGGAAAGAAAGGGCACATTACACACTGGCTCATAAAACTTCCATCATATCACTTCCACTAACAATTAGTTCATTAGCCAAATAATTTATATGCTGTACCAACAATTGTGCCACCAGTTTGGAAGACAGAAAGCCAGACAAAATGAAGAATCATGCTGAAAGCCAGAAATTATTGTTTATTTCTGGAGGTATCAATTTTAGACAATATGTATTGAATCCCTGTCTGATATATATGGATTTATCTCACTTATACTTCTCCCCAACTTCTTCTTTTCCCTTCCCTTCTATATATTGTTACATCATAAAATTTAATTAAATCAATATTCAGTGTTATGGCCCTGTAAATAATGTTCACAGCTGAGTCAAGTAGTGTACTATAGTTATTTTCCTTTCTTTTGTGTTTGAATTTTTTTGACTTGTCTTTTATTCTTAATGTTTTCTCAGTCATTACATCAGAACTTTCATATGTTCATCCATAGATTTTTTTACTCAAGTATTCATACTTACCAAATAATGTCTCAAACTCATTTTCCTCTGAAGCCTCCCACCCAGTTGAAGACTGAATGCTCTCATGCCTGCTGCATAGCCCTGCTTCTGGGCCCTCCTTGTGACACTTTTTGGGTTGAGTTCCCAGCTACTTGGGTCCCAGTTGGTTTCCACAACTCTTGCCTACAAAACAAAGTTTATTCATCATTTCTTCATTCAACATCTTTTGAATGCCTCCTGCTTGCCATGGTGTGGGGAATCGGGGATGAGCAAGACACAGAGAGAGCCCTTAGGAGCTTATGGTCTAGTGAGAGCAATGGGAGAGGCAGACTCTTGCCTCACTCTGCTGATATCAGAGCAGAGATAGTACTTAATTCTACCCATCTCTCCTGCTTTTAGGATCTTCTCTTTATTTTTGGTCTAGTATATCTTTTTAACTTAAATCATTTTCTGCTAGGAATATTTAATTGGGTATCAATAACAAAACATTTTTAATTCTGAAAGAATATTATTGGTTTGGCTTTGTTTTCTTGTTTACCTCATCTATACACTTTCATTATGTGAAAGTGTAAAAATCAGCAACTTTCCTGATTTTTAGAAGATACTTGTTGCCATTTTTAGTCTGAATTCATCAGTAGAGTGAATGAATGCATTTTTCATTACTGTAAAAACAGCAAGCCTAACCATAAGAGAATCTACTGTGCAATCACAGTTAGCCTTTGCAAAATGCCACTTTTCAGCATTTATGTCTTCTGTGCTCTGTGCCTTGGTATATCATGGAGCAGATGTCTTAGAATTTTGGTTGCACATCCTTTTCGGTGTCCTCAGTGTTGCAACATGAATTATGATGCTTAATGATGTACTGAGTACTTATAATAAATCCCTCAATATATCAGATAGCTCAAACTATCTCAAACTTGGGAGGTTTTATAGCTATGGCTGTAGATACAGATTTATTTTATAAAGTGTATGATTGCCCTTTCATGTCTATTTCCAAAAAGAATTCAACTCTCTATTTTTATATTTCTTTGGTGGAATACCTACAATGACAGTTTTTAAGCCACATACCAAATTTACCATATTGCTGTTTTTGAGTCGTAGTCTAGAATATTCTTTGCTGAAATCGTCCCTAAATTCACTACTATATAGTTCATGTATGGAAAATGATTATTTTCCTCTGAACCCGTTTTCAGCTTAGACTGTCTGAGGCAGGAGAGTGAGCATCTGTTAGAGTAAGGATTCTAGATTTTGCCCTCTGCCACTCAGCTTTACTACTGAAGGTCCATCTCTTAGCTTTTCCTGGAGCTAATTTTCTTCTCAACTCCAAAATGATCTTTACATTCAAATCCTGCTCTGAGATGGAGAGACAGGCTCTTTGGGTGGACTGAGAGTCACCAAAACATCCTTGGTGGGCAGATGTAGATATCGAATTCATCACAACTAACCCAGCATCTGAGCCAAGAGGTTGACTATAAATATAAACAAATAGGAAATAAATGAGGTCAAGGGTATGGTGGTGTCTGAAGAGAAGTGGAGGGAGGAATCTGGAGGGCCTACCTTGCCTTAACAAAGGCTTATGGCTTGCTTTCCTGTTCCAGCTGAAATGGTGGGCGTGCATGGGTCAACCCTCGAGTAGAACAAACTCTTTTCACTCTTGATGTTCTTCTTTGTGTTTTTGAATTTGTTTTATTCTCCGACCTAGAAAGTGTTTCTTCAGCTTTAACGTGGGGTGTTTTAGATATTTTCTGGCTCTGTTAGTTCTATATACAGAAGAATGTCACCAGACAGAAGGAACACTGACATTCGTTTAGGTGAATTGGCAAGCAAATTAGCTCACAGCGTTTGAAAGTTGAGAAATGAAATTACATATAAATTTTTCTTTTTTCCACAATACTAATGAGCACTTAATTTTTTTTAAAAAAAGAAGCTCGATTCTGGCTATATCAAATAAATTCCATTGACTAAATCTGCTAGTTTGTTGTCATGACAACCTTCACATGGAGCTAATTAGAAGTTAACTGGGACACTTCTAAAGAGATTGATTCTGGTCTGGAATTGGACAGGATTTCATAGCCTCCATAATCTAATATATTTATTTCTACTACAGTGTAGATTGTTGGTGGGTTATTGAATATAAGGGTGCAGAAAATGTGTCTTTGATTGATATGGGGGGAAGGTAGTGAATCTTGTTTTCCTACTCATTCCCTTTTATGTTTTTTCCCCAAAACCCTAGGGTCCAGAATAAGCCAAGAACTTCAGAACACATATATTAATTTAAGATGTATTGGGAGGACTACAGAACAGTTGTTCCAATCACTGTTGGCTTGAAAACCTGTGTGTTCTTTTTTCTAAAGTGAACAACACTGGCTCTGAATGGCTGAGTTATTTTAATCTGTCATTCACAGTTTACGGGAGTGTTCAGAGCCTGTCAGGTGTTCTAAAGTGTATGGAAGATGCAAACCACCCTGATTTTAAGATGCATACACCTTATTTGGAATGGTAGCATACTGATAAGAAAAGTTTAAAATATGTTTGCCAAGTCACCTAAGGTTAGTTCAGCAAACATTTATGAAATGCCTGATTGTAAGACAATTAAAATTAATATATAGGCAGTATATCCCAACTATTAAAGTACTGTGAGAACACAGAGCAACATACAATTGGAAATTGGCATCTTTAACAAATTCTTTTTGAGGAACTATTATGTGCAAACTATTTCCAGGCTTGAGGAGCTGAGAATGTACAGAAATCAATATAGCCAGGTCCCTGTCACAGAGGAGCTTAATCAATGTACGAATATGGCCATAGTTACCCAGATGTCATTCCTAATGAGCCCAGCCACCCAGTAGATCTGTCTTAAGAAAGTGTGGCAGTCAGTCTGATATCCAGAACCATTGAAAATAATCTAAATCTTTCCAGTCTCTTATAGGAACATCTCAGGGGGAATCCTTTAGAATACACAGAAAAGTTTCTGTTAAAGCCTCTTTTCTCCAGCTATCTTGCTCTCACAGCTCTCTGGCATCCATAGCAGGTCTCTAATATCTGTCTCATTTGGCTCAAACTCCTACACCTTTTCCTCCAACTCAGTCTATACAGAGATTTTTGTTTCTTTTCTCCTTCCCAGTCTGGCTCAGCAATTTATTATGTCGTTCAACTTAGTACCTCTGGCTTCTTCCAGTTTTCCTGTTTCCCCATTATCCTCATTCTGCACTGTATGGAAGGGTAGAGTTGTAGAATCCTTCCTTCTTGGCAGTGGGGTTATTGATGCAAACTCTTCTAACCGATTGTATTTAAAGTCTCATTTACATAGATTGTGTGTGTGTGTGTGTGTTGAGAGAGAAAGTTGAGCTAGACTTTGTGCTTGCTTAAATAGCTCAGCAGCATTTTCTAGCCCTTCTAGATGGAAATTAAGGCCATGTTTCCTTGCATACCCAAATATCCTATATCATTTAGGCAATTAGCTGATTACTTGTCTCTTCCTCTCTCTTGACTGTGAATTCCTTTGCTCAGAGGGTGTATTCATCAGTATATCGCCAATATCTAGCCTAGTAACTGAACCTTAGTGCTTCCTTAATAGTTGTTTGTGAAACTTCTAGTTGGAGACTTGTGGAGAAAACTCATTCCAGACTGCAGGTACAGCAAGAGATGAGATATGAAGTCATGGAACTGAATCTCATATTCAGGGAACAATAAGACCTCAGTTGTGGCAGAAGTACAGGGTGAATGTAGTGGGAGATGATCGCGCAGGAAGACTGGGCGGAATTATGTGCTTCCTCCGCTCTGATCTCACCACCAAGTGCTATAAGAGTCTGTCTCTCCAATTGCCCTCACTAGGCCATGAGCTCCTTATGTGATCTCTGTGTTTTTTTCATCTCCTATTCCTCCTTTGTGGCCTATAGGAGGAATTTGATTGATGTTTAATGGATACATGGTGAAAAAGATTTTGTTCTGTAAGAGAGGGCTGTGGGAAAGCAGGACTGGATCTTGGAGGCTAGGACAAGGTAGGGGCAGCACCTCACCTGGAAGGGCAGCTCATGATCCACCCGATGATTTGCCAAGACAATCATGGTGGCATGTGAAGGAGAGATGAGGGAAGCAAGAGTTTGGAGGCTAGAAAGCAACTTAGGAAGTTCCCCCCCCCTACACACACACACATATTATAGATGAAGGAGAATGATGATTTCAGCTAAATCTAAGAATTGGATTTAATATCTTGAAGTCACTCAGAGGGCCACTGCTCATAGAAATAGCAGATATTCTTTTTAAGGGAGAAATGGCAAAGACTGAGCAAGGGTCATTCTGTGCCCTCCCAGCCCCTCGCTAGCTGCAGCACACGTGCATCTAACCGCTTTCTGGCTGGGACTGAAGAGCTCCCTGCCTTCCCCTTCTTCATCTCTGTGGTAGCAAGGTCGCACAAGGAACTCACAGCCCCAACCTCAAGTCAGCCAATTTCAGAACATGTGTATGCAGTTTACCTCAAGTAATGCCAGAGTAAAAGTATGTCATTGAAGCAAAATTTCTGTTTGAAAAATGTTGAGCTGAAGCAGGCAAAGGTGTTTTTCAGGTAGCATTGCTCTCTTCATCTGTGATGTGAATTGATTAACGACATAGACAGTGTCATTTTGTTTCATGGCTCTTGATGAAATCCTTACAATAACCCATCATGCTGTTGAAATCTTTTATTTAGACTGAAAGCATACCTTACCTAAGCACTCAGTTGGAAATACAGATCCATAAAGGGTATATAGGAGTGGATGTGTGTTCCTCTCTATCTGGCAAAGTGGACCAGGGGCCTGGCAAGATCCGCACAGGACACTGGTGTACCCTGACTAGTGCTGGGTAGTCTGCTTGCCCTCCATCACTTTTAGATCCACAGAAGCCAGCCCACTTCTAGATGTAATCACTTCCTACCCAAACTGTCTGAGTGGCATCCTCGCTGATTTCTCTGTCTCTTTCCAGTGCAGTTCACTGCTAAACTGTGGTCAAATTATCTTTTCAAAGCAATCTGTACCATTATGCCCTCAGTCCAGTCCTGCTCTGTTCTCTATACAATAAAATCCAAATTCCTTACTTTTACATGACCTGTTAAAAATTTACCTCTCTGGTGAGAACTCTCGCTGCCATGGTTCCTATACACACCTGCAATGAAGATCATATCACCATATCAGCAAATTCCTTGTGTTCCTTGAATGTCCCCTGCTCATTGCTTGTGTATGACTCCCCCTACCCCACCGGCCCCACGATGCCCTGGTCCCCAGTCTCTACCAGTTGAAATTGCACTATTTTTTTCAAGGCTTAGTTCCTATGACCCTTCCTCCAGGAAGTCTTCCATGTTTATAGTACTAAGAATTATTCTCTTCCACATCTAGAATCCTAGACCCTGTCATAACTACCTGTGTTCTGAGCACATTCTGCTTGGTATTTTATTTAGTTATATATGAATCTGTTTTTCTGAGTAATTATAAATATTTGGAGGAGAGGGTCTGTTTCTTCATCTTTGTGTTCCACAGCACCTAATATAATGCCTTGAATATATTTGTTAAATTGAATTGAATTATCTATGGTTTTAGAACCCTGAAATTTGGCCTTTTCCTTGTTTTTGCATTTGTTTAAACTTAGATATAATGGAGTTTTGGGGTTTTGAGTTCAGGTGTTGTTTGCTTTTTTATTTCAAGTTTTTAACCAGTATTGCTCAGTTATTTAAAAGTTAATGTATTTTTATCATTTTAATATTCTAAATGCTGGTAAATGTGTATATATATTTTATATATATATATGTATTATATATAATATATTATCACAAAGCAAATTTTTGCTTCCTTCAGTACCAGACACTGGCAACATTGTGAGGTAGGTATAGTTAATCTCTGATAATCATGTAGTCATGACTTCTTCAGTTGTAAGTGAGGAAGAAACTACTTACACTAACTCAAGTCAATTAGGTTTGGTAGGTAGGTAGTGTTTGTCAGGATGAGTTGAGTATGGTCATGCATAGACAAAGACTGGAACCTGACAGTGGCCTCACAGAAATTTGAACTGGCGGATCAGGAGCCAAGACTGTGCTCAGTCCTGCAGGAGGCATGAGTTCTCACTCATCTCCATCTTCTCCTCTGTCCTCTCCCACATTGGCTTAATGGCTGCCTTCTCCAACCCGGCATCTGGACCTTTCAGCTCGTGCTGTCAATACTGACTGTATGTCTCTCATGTTGTTCTTCCTTACATGAAATCATATGATAGGGAATCTGATGGATTCAAACTGTCTATGGGTAGGTCCCTTGTGGATTGGGTGTCCACACATGAACATGGCTGCGTCCATGCAGCAGGGCTGTGGGCAGTGTCATCATGCTGTTGACTCTTTTCCTTTTCATTTGCTCTTCCCCTGTCTTCCGTAATTCCCAGTCATTCTTTGCTGCAAGCCCTTTCAGGCATCTGAAACTCTTTATTCCAGGGCTCTCTTCTCAGAAGAAAAGTAATTTTTCAAAACCTTATTTAGAAAAATAATTATTTTCAAAATCTTATTTTGTACAATTAGATACAATTCAAACAAGCCTAATTATTTAAGGAGTTATGACTTCTGAGTCCTCTGTCTTATCCTGGAAACAAAGGTTAGGTGATGATCAAGAAAAGACAAATGAAATAGTTTATAATTAAATGGGTAATATTTAGGTTTCTAATAATATCAACCTCACTGTATTACTATCTTCTTATTTCTAGGACATGATTATTCAATGTTGCTCTGAAATAGCATCTCTGTTTTCGAATGATAAAGAGCCAACACCACTATCTGAGGTATGTATTTCTCCTTTTAAATTGTATCGAATTCACTCACAATTATTATTGCTATGGAAAAGGAAATATAGAAAACATCTAATTGTAAGTGTCAAGAGCCTAACCCTTCTCATTAATGAGAAAAAGTGATAAACATGAGTTTACATAGCACGTTATTTTGGTTAAAATATTCTGTGTTCAAAAAACATTTAACTAATACAAAAAACTATAAACAGGATAATTTTTTAAAGTCACCTCAAATCTACCATTCACAGAATAACCCCTATTAACATTTAGAGTATATCTAGAATTTTCCTTATGTACAGATAACCTTTAGAATTTTTATATCAATAGTATCATGCTTTACATGCATTGTGTCACTTGCTTTTTTTATCAAATAATAATTTTGTGGATAAATTTTTATGTGAAAAGTCTACTTTGTCATATTTAATGCCTGCATAATGGTTTCTTTTATGTATTTGTTGTGTCAGGTACCATTTACATAGCTAGACCTTTATTGATGGGTCCTGCAGTTGATTGATCCTGTACATACATATTTCATTCTTCTGTATTACCTCTTCAGAGTTAATTCTTAGGGACTGGATTTGGAGTAGAAAAGTATATGTACATTTTTATTATAAAATATATATAATACAAATTTGAAGTTTTAACCATTCTAAGTGTACAGTTCAGTGGCCTTACGTATATTCACAATGTCGTGCAACTGTCACCACTATCTGTCACTGTCCAGAACTTTTTCATCCTTCCAAATAGAAACTTTATATCCATGAAACAGTAACTCCTCAATTCCTCCTCCCCCACCACTCCAGCTCCTGGTAACCTCTATTCTACTTTCTGTCTCTATGAATTTGTCTATTCTAGATACCTCATATTAGAATCATGCAATATTTGTCCTTTAGTGTCTGGCTTATTTCACTTAGCATAATGTTTTCAAAGTTATCCATGTCGTAACCTCTATTCTACTTTCTGTCTCTATGAATTTATCTATGCTAGATACCTCATATTAGAATCATACAATATTTGTCCTTTAGTGTCTGGCTTATGTCACTTAGCATAATGTTTTCAAAGTTATCTGTGTCGTAACATGTCCTACTATTTTATTCCTTCTTAAGATTGACTAATATTCCATTGTATGTACATACCACTTTTCTTCATGGATTTACCTGTTAATGAACATTTGGGTTGTTTCCACTTATGGCTATTGTAAGTAATATTGCTATGAACATTAGTGTACAAATCTGAAGCCTTGATTTCAAATCTTTAGTGCATATACCTAGGAGTGTAATTGCTGAATCATATGGTAATTCTATGTTTAACCTTTCGAAGCACTTCCAAATAGTTTTCCTAAGCAGCTGCACAATTTTATACTACCACCAACAATGCATAGAGGTTCTAATTTCTCCGCATTCTTTCCAGCACTTTTTTTTTTTTTTTTTTTTTTTTTTTTTTTTTTTTTTTTTTTTTGGTGTGTGTGTGTGTGTGTGTGTGTGTGTAATAGTAGTCATCCTAGTGGGTGTGAAGTGGTATCTTATTGTGATTTTGATTTGCATTTCCTTAATGACTAATGATGTTGAGCATCTTTTCATGGGCTTATTGACCATTTGTGTGTCTTCTTTAGATAAATATCTCTTCAATTATTCACCCCTTTAAAAATTGGTATATACATTTTGATGTATTACAGCAAATTAATCCTCCAGAAATGTTACACCAACATTTCTCTCCTATCAATAGTAGATGAGAGGACCATTTACCCACATATTCATCTCTACTAGTTTTCTGGGTTTGTTTTTGGATTTTTGTTTTTCTTGAGACAGAGTCTTGCTCTGTCACCCAGGCTGGAGTGCAGTGGTGCAATCTCGGCTCACTGCAACCTCCACCTGCCTGGTTCAAGTGATTCTCCTGTCTCAGCCCCCTGAGTAGCTGGGACTGTAGGCAAGCACGCCACACCTGGCTAATTTTTGTATATATATATTTATTTTTTTTAGTAGCGATAGAGTTTCACCATGTTGACTAGGCTGGTCTTAAACTTCTAACCTCAAGTGATCCGTCGGCCTTGGTTTCCCAAAGTGCTGGGATTACAGGTGTAAGCTGCTGTGCCCAGCCCATCTACACTAGTTTTCCTCCTCCTCTTCTAATGGTTGAAAGCGTGACAAATGAAAAATAGTATGTTATTATTGTATTTTTTTGTTAATAGTTCTTGTGTTGGTTGGCATTCGTGTTTCTCCTTTAGCAAAATGGTATTTATTCATTTAGTCAGTTGACAGATGTTTAGAATGAACATCTCTGTGTCAGAAACTCCTTTCTGTGCACTGAAGAGCTAGCTATGAACCAGCAACAAAGATTCCACTCTCCTAGAGCTACTATTTTCGTGGCAGGAAATAGACAGTAAACAAATCAATAAACGAGATAATTTTAGATTTTGTTAAGTGCTGTGCAGGAAGAAAACAGAGTGATATGTTAGAGTAAGGGTCAGCAAACTATAGCCTATGAGCTGTATCTGGTGACTCCCTGTTTTATAAATAAAGTTTTATTGGACACAGACTTGTTCATTCATTTACTTATGATTTATAGTTGCTTTCACACTACAAAAGCAGAGTTGGGTAATTCTGGCAGAGACTGCATGGCCTGCAAAGCCTAACTTATTTATTATCTCACCCTTTACAGAAAAGGTTTGTTGGTCCCTATGACAGAGAGTGACAGGGAATGGGGTCACAGTTTATATAGGGTGGTCAGGAAAGACTGAAGACTTCTCTGAGGAGGTGACATTTGAAGTAAGACCTGAAATATTATACTGTATTTTTTCCCATTAGCTCATTAGCTTCCTAGGGGCAGAGGTGATGCTATCTTCATCTTTGAGTTCTTACAGTGCCTTGTACACCACATCTCTTGGTCGTTGGTTCTTGAATTGAATTGAATTTCCTTTCATTTTGAACATCTGAAATTTAATCTTTGCTTCACTTATTCATTTGGCCATTTATGTCCTTTCCCACTTTTTAAACAGGGAACTTAATTGTTTATTATGGAAATGTATAGACTTACTGTGGTAGACCACTG